TACATATCTAAACACTGCAATCTTTGTTTTTGAAGTGCGTTTTTAAATTAGTACCGGGGTATTATAAAAGCTCTATCATTCTGTTCTAATAGCTGAAACAAATTCCTGTAAATTTTCATTTGTCGAATGATCTGTTTGTCAAATACATAATATTTTTTAGTACAATTTACTTTTCAAAATGTGGATGCAACGTTTTGCTTTTTATGTATTTTTTATGTATTGTTTTTGATTTGATAACTTTGAACTAAACAAATTTTCTATTAGCTTCAGATCTTGATCAAAGTTTGGCACCCAGTTCATAGGAGTGCTTATATTGATTTTCTGACATCTTGTTTTCTGTAAAGATTTTATTGGTAGGTTTGCAAATGTGTATCAGACTGTGCAAAAACTCTCTCCATGAGTTGGTTTTGAAACCCAGTCTAGTATTCCCACAGGATTTGGGAGATACTGTACATTACCAAGAATATTATTACAAGATAAATGATTTGCTTCATTGAACACATACAACAATGCATATTTCCACTGAGATCAGTGACCTTTGAATGTGTATAACCAGTGATCAGTCAAGTAGAAACAGTCAAAATATTTTATCAGATTTTCTCAATTTTTGTATGATTTTTTCATACTTCTGTTGTTCATACTCAGGGAAGACTCTATACTGATGAATAAGGTGACCAAGTTTGATGAAGTTTGGAATAGAATTAGTAAAGTTATTGTGCACACAATAACAATTATTAACGACAACAACAACGCCGGACAGAAATTTTTCCCTGAATATACCTTTCCCTTCCATCTTTGATGGTACGGACAAGGTAAAAATATTAATGTTCCTGTATTGATAGCATTAATTTAAGGATTAGTGCCTGCACATTAAATATCCTTTCCCAGACTTGCCATTTTCTACTTTTGTTCCTTCTCAAAACATAGGAAAACATTGCAAAATGAACAAATTTAAGAGATGTCCACCCAGGAAACATATATACAAAGTAACAAATGACTGAAAGTGAACTGCACTGATATATTACAGTCGTCTATCTCATTTTGATAAATACTATGAAAAATGTTGCATCGTTGGTGATTTAAATGATTGTGAAAGAACCACATACCATAAATCGACCACCGTCGCTTAAAAGTCTTGCTCCTCTATACCAGCTCACTTTTGGTTCGGGATCACCTTCAACCACGGCCTCAAACTTCACATTATCACCTGAAAGTGAAAATTAAAGTCAGTTTTCTAATACAATAGTCTATGAATTATTCAATTCTTATTTAATCGTAGCATTAAATATACACTTTTTAAGTCTAAGAAAGAGAAACAATTTTCATACCCATGGTAGTAACTAAGTTTAGTAAATTTTACCTTCTTTTGCTACAACCTTTAGTGGTGACTCAATAAAATATGGTGCCCCTGGTATAGTATCTTTGGGTTTTATGGGTGGAGGTATTTTCATCCTTCGGGATGAAAAACCCACCACTTGCGCATCTTCCTCTTCTTTAGACAGAAAACCTTGAAAATGGGAATGAGAACTCCAATTAGAACTAAAGACAATGGTTGTGTAATAAGATTAAGATATTTGTCTGAATACCAACATTGGATGGATTTTATTTCACAAGGTACAAGTAATAATACTGCACATTCATAAACCCACACACCATTTACGTATCCATTGCTCTATAAATTTTCTCTCTGTAAAATACAGCATTGCTTGTTACAAATAAGATGACACATCTGGATGTATGTGAATCATCTCTGGCATTCCTAATACAACTATGGCACTAAAGAAATATCCTTCAGTGGATCACCTGATTTGAACAATCCTAGATCCTACTATGAACTAAAATATTATTATCTTGTAATCAAGCACATAAATAAACAAATTGCTTTTTTCTTGTATGCTGAATCATAAAAATATTACATAATTTTTACCATAGCTACAGCTTACGTTGCAAATACGGTATCAGTCAAATATTCAGTGGTTTCAATCAGACCAGAATCTGAGATTAATTATACATACAGCTAATGTTGTATTCAGACAAATAAGCTTTTTTCTTTTGTCATGGCAAAATAAACATTGTCAAA